GGGGGGGCGGGAGGGGGGGCCGGCTGCGGGCAGCTGGGGAAGATGATCGCAGGCCAGGCCTAGGGACCATACCCACGCATGAATTTCATGCACCAGGCCTCTAGTATTACAATAAAGAGCCTATACACAGGATGCTGGGTTTCTCTAAAGTAGATACCTGGAAGAATTGCTACCCTCCTGATGGACGATTCTGCTGCTGTCTTCCAAAACTAGTGTGTCGTTTATTTGGTATCACCCACTTCCCCCCTCTCCAACACTCATACTTAGCAAATTTGAGTACTTTAAATTTGCATTTTACTGCTTACCATGGAGATGGAGCATTTTTTCACAGGTCCATTTGTTTTTGCAGCTATTTTTCCAGAGTGGTGTTCTTAACATTTGGTATTTTAACCTACAGTTTATTTTGAGAGTAATATCAGACATCCAACATTTTTTCCAAGTAAATATCCAATGTAAAAAAGAAAAAGGAAAAAATATATAAACAGTAGACTTATTTGTAGCTGTTGCTATAATATTTAAATTGCTACTTAAATAATCCAAGCAAATTAACTGAAAAACTATTAGAACAGTTCTGCAAAGATGTTGGGATATAAGATTAACTGAATGAATTTAGGCTTTTCTTTAAAACATCAGCAATAGCCTTTCCAAAAATATAATAGGGAAATGGATCCCATTCATAATAGAAACTATACTGAAAAATAGACCTAACAATAAATGTGTAATAACAAAAAGGGGATTGCGCAACCATTGAGCAAAACATGTTTATCAGGCTATTATAATTTTAAAAATGGGCTATATTGGTCAGGTACAAACAGGGTTAATGGAACAATATAATCTGGATATCCATGTTACAATATGGTATATGAAAAGGTAACATTTCAAATCAGAAATAGGATGGGATTTTCAGTGTTCAAGGATACTAGATTCAAAACTAATTTCATTGTAGGCCCTAGGTTCACCTGGAATTTCTATTTGTTACCAAAATATTATAAATTATAAAAGAGTAATGTTATATGTAATACTCTGAGAGCACAATGATATCTCAGTCAGGCCTTTGTTCACAAGCTGTCTGCTGCCTAGACATTCAGCCCACTGCTTCTCGACCACTTGCTTTTTGCCTTATTCATATTTCCAGAACTCAGCCCAGTTATGGAATAGACGTTCAAATGTTCAAACAGATTTTTGCCACCCCAAACTTAGATCTCTATAGGTCAGTGGTCGGCAAACTCATTAGTCAACAGAACCAAATATCAGCAGTACAACGATTGAAATTTCTTTTGAGGGCCAAATTTTTAAAACATTGTTATTAACTTAATTAGGGTACTCCTAAGGCTTAGGAAGAGCCACACTCAAGGGGCCAAAGAGCCACATGTGGCTTGCGAGCCACAGTTTGCCGACCACGGCTATAGGTAATTTGTGGGTTAAGTCCAAATTTCCTCATATTTCAAATATTTTTAGCTTCTAGCTAAGAATTAAGATTTGCACCCTAACTGGTTTGGCTCAGTGGATAGAGCTTCGGCCTGCGGACTAAAGGGTCCCAGGTTCCATTCTAGTCAAGGGCATGTCCCCTGGTTGTGGGCACATCCCCAGTAGGGGGTGTGCAGGAGGCAGCTGATCCATGTTTCTCATCGATGTTTCTAACTCTCCCTCTCCCTTCCTCTCTGTAAAAAAAATCAATAAAATATATTTTTAAAAAAGAATTAAGATTTGCTCTTAATTCTTGTTCTTGTTAATACTCTTTCTTTGTTAGTGATAGGGAGCCTTCCTCCTCCCCTTTTAACCCTTGTATAAATGCTGGATTTTATTTACTATATTAAGAAGTCTGGAGAAACTGTTGCTACCCAAAGGGCTTCTATGATGTCACTTTGCATGGTTGCCTAGCTACTGCTAGTTAAGTAAACATTCTAGATATTTTGCTCTGAAAATTTTCCAGATAGCAAAGTTAGCACTTGAAATTCTTGGTCTAGCTTTTCTAGCATTTTGTCCTTTTTTTGTATTTTTTGTTTGTTTTTTAGGAGAATGATTACAAAGCAGTATGAACAGAAGAAAATAATGACTGATGAATTTTTAAGTGTCTACTTTATTATCATAAAATGACATAGTACTGTATTTTAATTTTAGAGAATGCAGCACAGCTCTCAGCAGTAGTGGCTAAGTTTTAACTGGAGCCAGCATGCTTTACCATGGCAGTATGGAATAGTGGAAGGGAGTGTGGGCTATTGAGCCTGCCTACCTAGGTTTAAATCCTGAGGCTGCCATTTAAGCTGTAGAATCCTTGAGCAGGTAGCAGCCTCTGAGTGTTTCCTCATCTTTAAAATGGGAACAATAATTCTTTTGTGAAAATGTTGGTTTAAAATAAGACAATGTATATATGATGTTTAATGCAATGTTTACCGCTTACCAGGCCCTCAAATTCTTGGTAGTAATGCTACATTGCCTCCATTAGAAATGGTACTTTAAATATCTCCCTCTGTGCTTAGCCAGTGTTCTAACGGGTGATTTCTGCTTTACTCCATCATTACCTGGAACAAGTCATTTATCCTCTCTCTACAGCAGGGATGTTACTGTTTTTTAAGGTGAGGATGACATGTTATCTCCAAGTTTCTTTCTTGCTCTAAAATGTGTGGCTTATTTTCTTGACCCTCCCCTTAAGGCTAGAATTAAAGTATTAGCCAGGAATTTCTTAGAGAAAAGGATAATGAGGATATGCTGTTTTCCTAATAGTCACATAAAAAATAATACTGGTATTAATAAAATCCTTCTTTGAAGCAATGCTGTTAAAGTACAAATTACTGAAAACATGAGCCCTTTTTATTTAGCAACCACCATATTTTATAAAATTTAAGATTTCTCAAAAAATTATAAATTTTTACCACTCTTCTGTTGAATTAGACTATTGGTAGCCTATATGCAGAAGGGATAAAACATATAGATGTGAACATTTACATAAGAAGTGAGCAAGCTTTACCTTTTTCATTCTCATGAAAGCTACTTCATGTCCTTGGATTTATCGTGTTGTCATTCATTCAGCAAATATTTTATGTCTACCAGAATCAAGTAGATGTAGTATATATATGAAGATGATGAAGGCCAAGGATCTCTTTCAAGTTCAGTTTAGGTCCTAACGAATAGCATCTGTATTTTTTAATCTTTCAGAATAGTTGCCTTAAAGGAAAAAAAAAAAAGTCCGTATTTCAACTTAATTGTCCCGGAGGTGATCATCTTTTCTCATATGTTCAGAAACTTGATGCTGTTCCACAGTGTGGTGGCTAGAAAATTCCTGTTTAGCAGCGAGAGAGAGAGAGAGAGAGTCCTTAAACTTGTAACACCAAGGACATATTAAATAGTGGTGAAAAACATGTCTTAATATGGCTTTGTTATATTTTCAGGAAACTACTAAACTTCCTGTGCAAGCGAAGTAGAATTTCATAAGAACATAATGGGTAAGTTTCATAAGAAAATAGTAGAAGCTGGTTTTCCCACTCAAAGATAGGCCTTCAATGTCAGTGAATGCAAATGCAAGTTAGAAAGTGGTCAAAGTAGACCACAAGTAGTTGTTTAATTCAACAACCTATGTTTACTGTACAATCTTGAAAGACAGATCAGTACCATTATTGTACCCAATAAAATTTGTGATTCCTAGTGAGTACTTTACCTTATGATATTAGAAACTTTTCCAACAGACATATAAAATGGTTTAGCTTACAAAAAAATACTAGAAGTATAAATTTAAATAACTGATAATTATTTGTATTTTTCTCAGAAATTGGCAAAACTGCTGAGAACCTGTATGCTTGGCTAGTTCATAACTTAGAAGTTACTTGCATCTTTACGAGTCCCCCAGCCTTTTGTTATGAAAAATTGTAAGAATAATGCACCACCTGGCCTTTACCAGTTGTTACTCTTTTGCTACATTCGCTTTCGCTCTGTGTGTGTGTGTGTGTGGGTGTTTATATATACATATATACATGAGTATATACACACATAAACATAAAAAATGCTTTTTTATCTATCATTTAAGATTTAGTTGTACACACCTAAATACATCAGCATGTGTTCGCTTCATATTCAAAGTTTTTCAGTTGTTTCAATAGTGTTCTTTATAACAGGTTTATTATTTTAAATCCAGGATCTAATTAGGAATCATTTATTGCATTAATTTGTCTCTTAGTCTCCTTTTTAATTTTTTAATACATATATGTTTTTATTGTTGATAGTATTACAGATGTCTCCTGTTTCACTCCCTTTAGCCCCCTCCTCCCCCTTAGTCTCCTTTAAACAGTTTCCTACCTGGCTGTCCTGGGGTGAGGAGTGAAGTCTTCCATGGCACTTTTAAATTTAGATTTGTCTCAGTGTTTTCTCCTATTACATTCAGAGTAAACATTTTGGGCAGCAGTAGCACATAAGTGATTTTGATATTAATGTTAATTTTAGGGATTTCTAAATTAACTATTAAGAAATAAATGAGTAGCCCTGGCTGGTGTGTTCAGTGGTTACAGCATTGGCCCTCTCATCAAAAGGTTGCAGGTTCAATCTCCAGCCGGGGCCGGGTGTGTTCAGGAGGCAACCAATCAATGTGTCTTACATCGATGCTTCTCTCTCTCTCTCTCTCTCTCTTTTCCTCTTTCTCCTTTTCTCACCCCCTCCCCTCCTTCCTTCTACTCTCTAAGAAAAAATATCCTCACCTGAGGGAAAAAAAGAAGAAAAGAAATAAATGAATAAATGTGTGTTAGTACCTGAACATTACTTCAACCTCATCCTATGTACTTCTCTCTAGGGCTCCCTAAATTTTTAGAAAAAGCCGTAAGAAACTTTCAGATATTGGTAACCATAAAAATTAAAATTCTGTCAGTATAATATTGTGAGAGTTATATATGTGAGAAAGATCTTAAAGGAATATATAAATATATATACTTCCCAGAAAGTTATATTGAGCTAGCCACTGTGCTGAAGCCAGTATGGCATCAGTGAGGTTAGATGGTAGCAAGTGACATCTACACAGTCCTGTCTTCTCACCTCTGCTTTCGGTGTTTAAAGACTGAATTTGTCTGTATTCATTACTTTCATTGTGTAATAATTTAAACTGAGCAATAAAATATTTTGATAATTATTTTTGTGGATCAAGAATAAAATCCTAAGTAAAAGAAGCCCTAACATTTAGCATTTGGGCTTGTCAGAAGTTGAGCTCACATGGCATATAAACATTCATTCATTCATTAACACATTATGCATTTTATTTTTAAAATAAGTATTTCAGGTGATAGAATTAAAGTTTTACCTTTTTTTAAATTGATTTTTTAGAAATAGAGGAAGGGAGGTGGGGGAAAGAGAAACATCAATGTGAGAGCACATCTATCGGCTGCCTCCTACATGGCCCTACTGGGGATGGAGTCTCTAGTGCATGGGACGATGCACAACCAACTGAGCCACACCAGCCAGGGCTAAGATTTTACTATATGAATATTTGGTTTTAGTCTTCAAATTTGAATTTGCTGCTGTGGTCACAAAAATATTATTAATACTTCCTTGAAAAATAGTGGTAAATTTTCACCCAAAATAACATCCTTGAATGTAGAGTTATTGTGACATTGGAAAATGTGTAGAGAGTAATAAACAAGAAGCTTAAAATCTTGGTAGCTATTACCCACGAGAAATCTTTCTGGTCTGAGTTTCTCAAATATTAACCTTGGTAAACCTGTTTATTGTTCATAAATTTTGTGATTCAAAAGTCATTTTACTACTTTATTTAGATGGAGAAGAGAAAACCTATGGTGGCTGTGAAGGCCCTGATGCCATGTATGTCAAATTGATATCTTCAGATGGTCATGAATTTATTGTAAAAAGAGAACATGCATTAACATCAGGAACAATAAAAGCCATGTTGAGTGGCCCAGGTAGGAACATTTCCTTTATTTTCTCTTCATATATCTTCACTTTTAATGTTTGATGAATGTTTTAAGTTGAGTGAAATGACTCATAACATTTAAGAGACAGTAACTATTTGAACATCACATAATTGAATGTTGCATTGGGGGAAAAGTTGGTTTCTGCCATACCCTGTTTTTAGGTATTTACCCTAGTTTCAATAAGAGCCAGTTGGTTACTTTGAAATAGGAAGGATCATTTTCCTAGGTTAGTTTCCATGGTCAGCTTCTTCTATACAGGCCTCTCTGGTGATTTGTGCTCCTGGTTTCATTTGTGCTCCTGCTTCTAAAGTTTATCTATAGAAGTTACCACCTCCCAAATATCTATCCTTAACATTTTCTCTGAGTAATTTTTCTTGAGGATTGGAATTTCTGGAACATATGGTGGCTTCTATGTTTAACTTTTGGAGGAAATGCCAAACTTTGCACAGTGGCTGAACCGTTTTACATTCCTACCAGCAGTGTATGAGGGTTCCTTATGTGGTTTTCTCCACATCCTCACTGACACTTCATTTGCACTTTTTTTTATTCTAGCCATCCGAATGGGTACCAGTAGTGTGTCATTGTGGTTTTGATTAGCATTTCCCTAGTGACTAATGATGTTGACTATCTCTTCATGTGCTTGCTGGCTATTTGTGTATCCTCTGGAGAAATGTCTCTTCAAGTCTGTTGTCGGCTTTTTAATTGGGTTGTTTGTCTTTTCTGTTGTTGAGTTGTAAGAGTTCTTTATAAATTTTGGACACTAGATTCTTATCAGATACATGATTTAATATTTTCTCCCATTCTGTAGGTTGTCTTTTTCTTAGTAGTATCTTTTATTCTTTTCTTTTAAAAAAAAAAATACATGTTTTTTTAGAAATGCTTTTTTTTTTAATATATATTTTTTATTGATTTCAGAGAGGAAGGGAGAGAGAGATAGAAACATAATGATGAGAATCATTGATTGGCTGACTCCTGCATGCGCGCCGCCACCACCACCACCAGGGAACAAGCCTGCATTTCGGGCATGTGCCCCTGACCGGAATCGAACCCAGGACCCTCCAGTCCACAGGCCGCTGCTCTATCCACTGAGCCAAACCAGCTAGGGCTTTATATATATTTTTGTTGATTTCAGAGAGGGAGAGAGATACAGAATCATCAATGATGATAGAGAATCATTGATCAGCTACTGCCTCCTGCACACCCCACACTGGGGTTCTAGCCCACAACCCAGGCATGTGCCCTGACTGGGAATGGAACCGTGACCTCCTGGTTCATAGATCGATGCTCAACCACTGAGCCACGCCAACCAGTCCTCAGTAGTATCTTTTGATGAACAAAAGTTTTTATGTTGATGAAGCCAAATTTATCTCTTATCCCATTGCTGTTTTTGGAGGCCTGTCTAAAAATCCATTGTCAAGTCCAATGTCATGAAGATTTACCCCTATGTTTTCTTATAAGAGGGCTATGGTTTTAGCTCTTGTAATTAGGTTTTTTATTTTAAGTTAACTTTTGTGCATGACATGAGGTAATAATTTATCTTTCGCATGTGGACATACCCGTACCATTTGTTGAAGAGACTTCTTTTTTTAATATGTTTTTATTGATTTTAGAGAGGAAGGAAGAGGGAGAGAGAGAAAAAAACATCAATGATGAGAGAGAATAATTGATTGGCTGCCTCTATCCACTGAGCCAAACCGGCTAGGGCAAGAGAGACTATTCTTTACCCCATTGAATGGTCTTGGCACCCTTGTTGAGAATCAGTTGATCGCAGATGTGCGCGTTTATTTCTGGGCTCTTAATTCTTTTCCATTGTGCTATGTGTCTGTCCTTATCTCAGTACCAAACTGTTTCATGGAGGGTTTGGGGGGGTTGTTGTTAATCCTTATCTGAGGATATTTTTTCCATTGCTTTTCAGAGAGAGTGGAAGGGAGGGAGTGGGGAGAAAGGAAAACATCAATGTAAGAGAGACACATTGATTGGTTGCCTCCCACATGCGCCCAACTGAGGGCAGGGAGCAAACCTACAACTCAGGTATGTGTCCTTGACCCTTCAGTGCAGGGGCCAATGCTCTAACCATGCTCAGGGCCCGTACCAAACTTTTGATTTACTGTAGCCTTGTAGTAAGTTTTGAAATAGAGAAATGTGAGGCTCAAGATTGTTTTGGCTCTTTGGGGTCCCTTGCAATTCCCTTTCTGTGTTTTTTTACTATGGAAACTTAAAAACTACATGGAAGTAGAGAGTCTAATACACCTCCAAAATTACCAACATTTTGCCAATCTTGTTTCGTCTCTTATTCTCACTTTTTAAAGAATATTTCGAGCAAATCCTTGACATTGTCATTTCCCTCATAAAATCTTTATAGTCCCCCTGAACCCTCCCTTTGTTCCAGGCCATCAGTTTTACAAAGAAACAATATTATTTATATAATGTCCACATCCTGATTAGACTTACTGTTTCAGCTTGTAAACTCATAATTAGAACTCCAGAGGCTTGCTTAGAATCTGGTTCATTTTACTGGGCAAGAATACTTCATAGGTGGTACTATTGTATCCTGTTGTAACACATATTTTAGCAATGTCAAGATTGAGTAGTGGTTCCAGGGTTATCAGGCTGATTTCATCCATGAACAATTCCCCAGTCTGACTTTGATGTAATGGTTTTAGCATTCATTATGATTATTGCCGAGATATATACTTCATTTGGAATTACAAAACAGTGATTTTCTAATTGTGTAGTTTCTTCTGCATTTATTAGTTAGAAATCTCTTTTAAAGAACTGTTTGGTGATCCTGAAATACAGTCTGTACAGGAAAGAAAAGTTAAATGCTTAATTTTTTTTCCCCCTTTACATATAATTTTGCAGTGTAATTTGCTTCTCCAGCATCCTCCAATAGCAAAGAGTGTTTGGGGTTTTCTTGTTTGTTTTTTTGCACATCATTATCAGCTCCTGACTTTATATATATAGTGCTTTTTCACCTGGCCCAGTCATTCTCATTGGGGCTCAAGCGCTCCATTTTTATGACAGAAGGACCCACGTCATGTTGGTTTCTGCGTCCTTTTGACATGGCTCCATTGATCTTGGATAGTTACTACTTTCTGTAGTACCAAGATTTCTCAGGCTCATTTTGCATGTTATTCCATTAATCCTGAGAATGACCATTTTTCCAAGAGCCCCTATTTCTTTTAATGGGAAATGGTACTTAGGGACCCCAGTCTGTGTGCTAGCAGGAACGTTGCTCCTGGCTTGAATTGCTTTCGACTTCTATTGGACAGAGCTGGGATGTACTTTAGGGGGGGGAATCACAGATGCCAAGAAAATTTTAAAAATTAAAATTAGAGGACTTTTGTTTGTTGTATGCTTGATCTCCTTTACTTCAATAAGAAGAGCTTTATCTTGAAGATCAAACTTTCAGCCCAAAACTAATGCTTGCATAAAGAATATTGAAATGCTGATACAGGCCATAACATGGATGCACCTTCTAAACATTAAGCTAAGTGAAAGAAGCCAGTCACAAAAGGTCACATGTTGTGTGATTCCATTTGTATGAAATATCCAGAGTAGATAAATCCATAGAGATAGAAAGTAGATTGGTGTGATAGAAAATAGAGGTTGGGGGTAGGAAAACGGGGAGTAATTGCTTAATGGTTACAGGATTATATTTGGGTTTGATAAAAATGTTTTGAAACAAGATAGGGTGGTTACACAGCATTGTGAATGTAAACTGAATTGTACTCTTTTTAAAATGGTTAAATTTGTGATATGAATTTCACCTCAAAGAAAAACCATAAATGTCTAGTCTCAAATAAATGCCTATTGGTAATGTTTCATACATATATTCAAGAAAGAAAATTTTTATTATTGGCAAACCAAGTTACCTATAGCTGTGAATTATTTTGCTGAATCCTGCTCTTCTTTCTTCCCACCCCCCAGCCAACATGCAATTAGAAAACCTTTAAAATACTACATTCTCAGAAAGTATATTTTTTCTGCCTTTTGTATTTAGGTCATAGTGCTAGTGCATGACTGCTAAGAAAATATTTTTGGTGGTGGTTATTTTTTTAAATATGTATTTATTGATTTTAGAGAGGAAGGGAGAGAGAATTGTCAAAGTGAAAGAGAAACATGGACCTGTTGCCTCCCGTATGCACCCCAACAGGATCAAACCCAAAACCTAGGTATGTGCCCTGACTGGGAATCAAACCGATGACCTTTTAGTGCACAGGCAACACTCAGTCAACTGAGTCACACTGGCCTGGGCTAAGAATATATTTTATCCCTATAATAAAAGCTAAATGATTAATTTCTTTATATGACTAAAGAAATTTTGAGAGATCACTACAAATTGTTAGGAGTTATTAAATAAGATCTCATTAACATGATTATATTTTTAAAAACTAAAGGGGGAAACAGTACATTTTCTTTCCTGAAAAGGTTTTTAAAATAGTATTTCACCTGTTATTTATTTTTACATGGCAATTCAATATAGCAGAGCGCTCCTTATGGTCCATGAAGACTTGATTCCTACTTACCCTTCAGTAATCCCAACATCAAGATTCTTTGGAAAAACTCCAAAGTGTCCAGACTTTCAGGAGAGAATCAAAATTTTAAAATTCAGTCCTGATGAATCTCAAATGCTATCTTAATAAAGATCTTTTTATGTTTATACTCAAAAGTCAGAGTTAGATATTTTGCTTGATGCTAGTTGGATTTATTTCATGTCGTAATAATTTGCTAGGGCTGCCATAGACCCGCCCTGGCCAGTGTGGCTCGGTCATCCACGTGCACTGAGAGATTGCCAGTTTGATTCTCAGTCAGGGCACATGCTGGGGTTTCAGGCTTCATCCTTGGTAGGGGACCATGCAGGAGGCAGCCAATCCATGTTGTGTTCTCACATTGATGTTTCTCTCTCTCCCTATCCCTTTCTCTCTCTCTCTAAAATCAATAAATAAATAAATAATGTTTAAAGTACCATAGGCTGGGTGATGTAGACAACAGAAATTTATTTTGCATGGTCCTAGAGGACCATTCAAGATCATGGTGTCAGCAGCATTGGTTTCTTCTGAGATGGCCTTCTCCCTGTGTCTTCACATTGTCTTCCCCCTGTTTGTGTCTGTGACCTAATCCCCCTTTTTTTTTTTTAATATACTTTTATTGATTTTAGAGAGGAGAGGAGAGGGAGAAAGAGATAGAAACATCAGTGATGAGAGAGAATCATTGATCGGCTGCCTCCTGCACACCCCACACTGGGGATGGAGCCCGCAGTCGGGCATGTGTCCTGACCGGGAATCGAACAGTGATCTGGTTCATAGGTCGAGCTCAACCACTGAGCCACTCCACCTGGACCCTAACCCCCTCTTATAAGGCTAGCAGTCACATGATTAGAGCCCATCCTAATAAATCCTATTTTGCTTTAATTACCTCTTTAAAGACCCTGTCTCCATGCTCACTTTGGCAGTACGTATACTAAAATTGGAACGATAGCATGGTCCCTGTGCAAGGATAACATGCAAATTTGTGAAGCATTCCATATTTAAAATGCTTCCTGAATAGGAGGGGGGCGGAAAAAACACCCGTCTCCAAATACAGTTACATTCTGAAGTTCTGGGCGTAAGGACTTCCACATAAGAATTTTGGAGGAACACACTTCAGTGCATAACCTACCTTTTTTTTTCTTTCATAGGTCAATTTGCTGAGAAGGAAACTAATGAAGTCAATTTTAGAGAGATCCCTTCACACGTGCTATCAAAAGTGTGCATGTATTTTACTTACAAGGTTCGCTACACTAACAGCTCCACGGAAATTCCTGAATTCCCAATTGCACCTGAAATTGCACTGGAACTGCTGATGGCTGCGAACTTCCTAGATTGTTAAATAAAATAAATTATAATAAACTGTTAACTTTTTTCAGTATTTAATACCTGTAGTTCAGTTAGTAATTTTTTCATATATAGCATGTTGCCTGTGTGCGATTGAACTTTAAAGTTCATTGCAAAGCCGACTATCGTCTTTTCTTTTGCATGACACAGTTGAAATTTGTTTGCTACATCAACAGATTAAGGACATTTTCACAAATTGAGAAATAAACAAATATGTCAGTTGCTAAGTAGTTTTGCCTTATCCTTTGGATGTGATTTTTAAAATTAGAGCGGTGGCAATATAGTAAATGCTGAAATTTAGTCATAAATGAACATATTCTACAGGTTAATATTGGGCTATGTATTTTTATGTTTTCAGTGTGTTTTTTTTTAACCTATTCTGATCTTATAGCCATCATTACCATTAGAATTATGCAAATAATTGCATTATAAACATGTTTATAACTTAGCCAAATGTTGATTTTTTTTTTATAATTGTCAGACATGAGTTGAAATTTCTTATGTGTCTTTTGATAAACTGCAGTATTGTTTAAGTGTATCTTGTCTTTTTGTTCATTGCTACAATTTAAAAACTTTATTTAAAAGCAGTTTGGCAGATTACTTGGTACGGCTGTTGGAACAGTGACCTTTTGAACTGTAGCCACATGGTCAATAAGTAAAGTACATGACCTTGATTTCATGTGTACTGTGCATTTTGGCCAATCCAAAGTACTGTATTTTCATTGACTATAAAGCTTCCTTTGCAATATTCATTCTTCTTACATAGTCCCTTGTTGTGATTATACTTCTGGTTATTTAAATGTTTTAAAAGACTCACTATGAACTTTACTCACATCTTAAAAGCTAGACTTTTCTGAACAATTCCAGTCTTCCTGCATCCAACTGAAATGTTATAAAATGTGACAAACGTGGACAGACATAGTGCAAATCTTATAATGCACTTTGATACAATATATGAATTATCTTGTGTCCCAATAAATATGCCCATCATCTGTGGGTCTTCTACTGATATCTAACTTATAAAGAGATCATTCAACTTTTATACCAAGCAGACAAAAAAATTTCAAAAGCTATGACAGAGTATCTCTGCTGAGGCCTGGGAAAAGAGAACTGTAGTTTGGTTTATTATTTCTATCTTAGTAAATCAAGGCTATCATTAGGGTTTTTAAGTTTTCATCTTAGTTCTTCAAGACTGGTTTAATATGGACCAGTTTTTATGGAAACTGCAAAAATCATAACCAAGATCTAGAAATGATTTTCCTCTTAGAAAACTTAACATTATACTTTCCAGCTTATTGAAAGCAGTTAAATATATATGTTAATTCCATATATTTAGTAACTTCCTAAGATATTCTGGTACATATTTCAGTATAGAAGATTATCAAGTACAAGAATTATATTCTGCTACTTGAGACAAATAATGTCAATTATAAGCCTAAATAATAAAAGGTTAAGGTGATAGCTAGAATCAAGTTTTACCTTGACCGATTTTAGTAGGTTACTTTTTAGGTTAGATCCACAAGTAACCTTAAGTCAAAATATTTAAAAAGAACTGAAAGATTAGGAGAACATGTATATCTTGTGGCAAATGGTACTTTCATGTTAATAAAGGCTCTGTTGACTGAAAGGTTTGATGAACACTTGGTGTTTGATCTTTTTAGCCTTAACTTTCTCTTCTTGAGGATTCATGAAACTATTTGCTTCAGGACATCTTATGATTGAACAGCAGGGATTTTTATTTGGTTAAATTTAAGAAGTTAATTTTATATAGCATGGAAACTTTACCAGCTTTCTGACACTTGGTAATTAGTTTACTTTTTTAATTATGTTTAAATTATGTGCAAGTTTCCTCTATATCTTTTTTATGCACAAATATTCCCACAAAATCCTCTGTTCTATTCAGTTAACATTTAATTTTTGTACTATCTAGATTATTTTATGCTTTCTAGATTGCTTGTGTTTTATGTAATTATTGACAGATAACAGTTTTCTTTTGAAGAATCTTGTTGATAGTGAGAAATACAATTTACTATAAGCAGCAAATTCAGCTCGTTACAAGAGAGAAATATTTAGAGACATCTTGCTATGCATGGACCTGTCATCTTAGTGAGTCATTTTGCTAAGTTTATCAATTATTCTTTCAAAACAGTATAAATATTCTGAGAAATAATATGAAATTGCTGTTAAAGATTGAAGAGTGATTAAATTAATCCCTAGTAATTCTTACTTATGTAGAGGAAATTTCATACAGACTTAGCGGTGCCAAATTGAGGTTTTGATTGGTTATGCCTAAATTTGATAAAGCATGATCTGGAAATTAATACATGCCATTGATTTTATATATATGGTATTTTATTTGCAATATATAAATCTGGTTTAATTTTAAGTCAGTCATGTTTGTGCTCAGTTTTATATTCCTGTTGGGCTAAACTCTTGAATATTGTACTTAATGGTTTGTTGGTTTAAACATTGTTTTGCCCTGAAGTATTTTGGTATATTAGAGCACCAACTGAGAGAAAGTCTGAAATCTTGTGCAAATTAGCCATGTGATCTTGAATAAGTCACTAGGCCTTAATTTCACATCTAGAAAATTAGGAAGCTGCACATCTCTAGGGTGATGTTTACCACTTTTTTTAAATATATATTATTGATTTCAGAGAGGAAGGAAGAGGAACATTAATGATGAGATAGAATCATTGATTGGCTGCCTCCTGCACACCCCACACTGGGGATCAAGTCTGCAACCCAGGCATGTACCCTGACCAGGAATGAAACCATGACCTCCTGGTTCATAGGTCAACACTCAACTGCTGAGCCATGCTGGCTGGCCAGACACCACTTTTTTTTAAATATTTTTTTAAATACATTTTTATTGATATTTTACAGAGAGGAAGGGAGAGGAATAGAGAGTTAGAAACATCGATGAGAGAGAAACATCAATCAGCTGCCTCCTGCACACCCCCTACTGGGGATGTGCCCACAACCAAGGTACATGCCCTTGACTGGAATCAAACCTGGGACCCTTCAGTCTGCAGGTCAAGGCTCTATCCACTGAGCCAAACCAGTTAGACCAACAACACTTCTTTTTATAAGCAAACAAGATTGCAACATTACAGATCATTAGATCAGAATAAATTAGAGAAAATGGTTTTCTTGCTGCATCTCTTAAATAATTATATAAATTTAACTTTGCTGCTTTTGATTAGGCATTAGCTATTACACATCAGTACTAAATATATTAACTAGATTAATTTAGGATTCTTGTAGTTTTCTATTGCCTGCCATATAAAGAAAATCCAGTTTTAGCTCTGGTTATCAATAATCCTATATAATAAAAGCCTGATAGGCAAATTGACTGAACGGTGGACTGACTGGCAGAATGACTGGTGGCTGTGACACACACTGACCACGCTCAACACAGGAGCTGCCCGCAGGCCCCAGGCCAGCCAAGGTGGGTGCCAGTTGGGGGGGGGGGCGATCGCCCCACCGGTTGCCC